TCGGAGGCAACGGCAAAGGCAACGCTTGATGAGGTGGTGATGGACGTGGTGGGCCCCCTGAAGCTTGGAGCTGCTGGAGCTGAGTATTTTCTCACCATTGTCGACGTCTACACCCGCATGACTTGGGTGTACGTGCTGGCCAAGAAGAGCGACGTGGCTGAAACGTTGAAGACGGATTGGTTCTCGATGGTGGAGCGGCAACAAGACCGTCTAGTCAAGTCAATCCGCACCGATCGAGGGGGAGAGTTCCTGAGCAAGGAGTTTGGGTTGTGGCTGAAGAAGAATGGTATTCGGCACTCCCTCACCATGCCATACTCCCCTGCAATGAACGGCATCGCCGAGCGAGCGAACCGCACAATCACGGAGGCGGCACGCGGGTTGCTCATTGAAGCCGGGCTACCCGAATATTTCTGGCCTGATGCGGTGCGGAGCGCGTGTGTGGCCAAGAACAGAGCCTTGACTCATGTGGGAGCAGACAAATGGGTGCCCTATGTAGAGTGGCTAGGAAGGAAGCCAAAGGTGGATATGCTTCGGGTGTTCGGGTGCATGTGCATGGCGCTCGTGCCTAAGCATCTTCGGCACAACAAGCGTGGTGCCAAGGCGGTGTGGGCCGTGCACTTGGGCATGGCTCAAAACAGCAAGGGATGGCTTCTTTGGGACCCATTCACCAAGAAGTTCTTGGTGAGCAGGGACTGCAAGTTCATGGAGAACTTCATGTACAAGGATTGGAAGGCGGAGAATGAGGCGAAGATAGGCGTGCGGTTTGGGGAGGTGAAGAGTTCCGGTTTGGAGCATGTGGAGCTGCCTTTGGAACTGAGCAGTGGCAGCACAACCACAAGGCAATCCTCCCTTGTGAATGGGGGAGAGGAGGCCAATGATGCAGAGGAAGAAGAGGAGGAGGTGCAGCAAGTGAGCGAGCGTGCACCGTCACTTCCTTCCCGTACTACGAGTGCTCCACGGATTCGAGCCACACCGCAGCAACGCCAAGGCCTTCAAGTCCCTGCAGCTGAGGAGGAAGGAAGGGGGAAGAGGAGAGTTCAACCCCCTAATAGGCTGACCTATGATGCGCCGGGAAAGCAGGGCAAGACAGCCCTGGCCGGAGCGGCAATGATGGTCGGAGACGACGAGGAGAGTGACTACGAGGAGTGTGCCTTCGCGTTCTTCTCTCCGGTGGAGATGCCGGGAGAACCAGCAACTCTCAAGGAGGCTTTGGAGAGTAGTGATGCTGAGGAGTGGAAGAAGGCCATGGAGAGTGAGCTGAAGAGCATCGAGGAGAATGACACGTTTGAATTGGTGGAGCTACCGGAGGGGCGTACGGCGATAACGTCCAAGTGGCTCTTCAAAATCAAGTCGGATGCCGACGGCAAGATCGAGCGCTACAAGTCTAGGCTTGTAGCCAAGGGGTACCAGCAGAAGGAGAAGGTGGACTTCAAGGAGCTGTTTGCCCCTGTGGTGAAGCCGACGACGCTGCGAACCCTATTCGCGGGAGCCGCCATCAAAGGATGGGTAGTAAAGCAAATGGACATCGTAACGGCATTCCTTAACGGCATCCTTGAGGAGGAGATTTTTATGGCGCAGCCAGAGGGGTTTGATGATGGTAGTGGCAGAGTGTGGAAGCTGAAGAAGGCCCTCTATGGGCTGAAGCAGGCCCCTAGGCAATGGTACATGAAGCTGCGCGGAGTGTTGGAGGGGATCGGCTTCACTCCCTCAACGGTCGATCACTCCTTGTTCATGCTTGGCGAGGGGGAGCAGAGGAGTTTCATGGTGGTTTATGTGGATGACATCCTCATTTTCTCACCCTCTTCTGACCTTGTGAAGGAGGTGATGCTGAAGCTTCAAGACAAGTTCAAGTGCAAGGCCCTTGGTGACGTGAGCTTCTACCTTGGGCTCCACATCGAACGAGATGTGGAGAAGCGGTGCATGCGGGTGCATCAACGAAAGTACCTGGAGGCATTGGCTGCCAACTTTGGGCAGAGTGAAGGCCATGTGGCTACACCCTTTCCCTCTGGGTTCAAGTGTGTGAAGGGACCAGAGGAGGAGAGCGTTGGTGAAGAGGAGAGGCGCCGATTTCACTCGTTGGTGGGCAGCCTCATGTATGCGGCGGTAAACACCGGACCGGACGTCGCGTTTGCTACCGGGCAGCTGGCTAGGGTTGTGCAATGCCCTAATGAGGAGCAGGTAGCAGCTGGAATGAGGGTGGCCAAATATCTTGGCCAAACACCGACCGTTGGGCTGCAATACTCGGCGGCGGCACAAAGGCGCCAAAAGGGCGCGGATGGTGTTGAACCCGGGCGTTTGTTCCTCACCGCCTACTCGGATGCTTCATATGCATCAGAACCAGAGGACATGACAAGTGTGGGAGGCTTCATATGCTGTGTTGGTGGAGGCCCAACTGCTTGGGAGAGCAAGAAGCAGGTTGACCAAGCTTTGAGCTCGGTGGAGTCCGAGTACATGGCACTCTTCCGTGCCGTACGGGAGATTGTGTGGCAGCGGCGTTTGTTGGCTGAATTGGGGGAGGAGCAGCAAGGACCTACCCGACTGTACTGTGACAGCCAGGGTGCCATTACTCTTGCTAAGAACCCTGTGTTGCATGGACTCACGAAGCACATGAGGGTGAACTGGCATTGGACGAGGAGCATGGTAACCGCGGGTGAAGTTGAGTTGCGCTACGTGAAGACCACGGGGCAGCCGGCTGACATGATGACCAAGAGGCTGGTGGAGCAGCAGCATTGGAAGTGTTGCAAGCTGGCTGGGATGGCTCTGAACTGAGAGAGCAACATATCCTAAGGCCAACAATCCGAGGGGGAGTTTGTTGGTGCAACCCTACGGTTTGCAATCGGCTTGTTGTCCGTGTGCGTGAATGTGTGTGTGTATGGAATGGTATGAGGGCATGGGATAATGTATATTTCATGCTTATAATTGTGTGTGAATGTTGAGTCATGATGTCGAGTGTGTGTGTCGAGTCAATAGCGAGTTATCGCTAGACGCGTGTTACGCGGTCGTTTGTGTCTCGCGCGCGGTTTCTATTTTGTCGTGCGCGGTTTCTATTTTGTCCTGTGTCGAACGTTCGGCGTGTCGCAGGTGTGTGCAGCAGACCCATCAAGAACTCAAGGATGAGTTTGTGATGAAGAGCCCGAGCCTTGGTGTCAAGCCTCAAGTGATTTCGAAGCTCGCCAAAAGGGTACACCTCAAGATATTGAAGATAGTTACATTACTTTGTGTAGTGTAACATTTCACTTGGTGTAGGCCCTAGTGAAGGGTAGTTTCGAGACCCTTCGTGGTTGGGGACAGTGTGGCACTGTTCCACATCACTGTAACTCGGCTCTTGGGGTTTGTAGGAGCTGGGAGTCATTCCCAACTCGTAACTCTTCCTATCTTGTGTTCTAAGACTATAGTGGCTGCCATAGTACCGTTCGTTCAAACCGACGCTGTGTCGTCAATTCTTTATAAAATCGTGCAATCTAAATTGATAATTGTAGACGACGTGAAGACGCTCCAGATCCAATTTGAATCAAGTCATTTGCAGCTGTGAGCAGAACGCTATCAACGTTTGAAGCCGCTGTGCAGAAATCCGTCTGTGCTCTCTATCTTTGGTTTTAGGCACATTCAAGCCTATTGTGACTATAACAGCAATGACATGCTTACAGTGCAATGACATGCTTACAGTGCAATGACATCCTTACAGTGCAATGATATGCTTACAGTGCAATGACATCCTTACAGTGCAATGACATGCTTACAGTGCAATGACATGCTTACAGTGCAATGACATGCTTACAGTGCAATGACATCCTTACAGTGCAATGACATGCTTACAGTGCAATGACATGCTTACAGTGCAATGACATGCTTACAGTGCAATGACATCCTTACAGTGCAATGACATGCTTACAGTGCAATGACATGCTTACAGTGCAATGACATGCTTACAGTGCAATGACATGCTTACAGTGCAATGACATCCTTATAGTGCAATGACATCCTTACAGTGCAATGACATCCTTACAGTGCAATGACATGCCCGTCGCCATCACAGTGCACATTCTCGAATTTGTCGCAATCCTCGCCCCTGCTCCATGTCCTCACACCCCGCATATCGTTCCATTCGTATGCCAGACTCGCCAAAGCGTCCACTGCCATCCATCCAGGGCACCATCCATAGCCATGCCCCCATGCCATGCACCCATGCCATGCGCCCATGCCATACCCTCCCAAGTCCCACATGCCATGGTGCAGAACGTGTCGGAAACATTCCCAGGGATAGGCGAGCAGAAGAAGAAGAGGGTAGAGGGATGGACGTGGGGATGGCAGGAGGGGCAGCTGCCACCAGCAGTGCTGGCTGTTGCTGGTGCGGGCCTCATGCTGCATGCTGAATCGGGTTACTGTCACGGATGATGCTGACTCACTCAGCTGCGCCCTGAGCGGTATGGAACACGGCATGGCTGACAGTCAGGGACCACTGTCTGTCAAAAGGAGGAGGAGATGGAGGGACGAGAGCGCGTCCAGCACAGCTTACTCTCACGGCTTGCCCTCAGCGTGCAGTGCAGCACGGCTTTATGGCTTACTCTCGGCGTCCGCCACGGGAGCAGCGCGTGCGAGGGGCATGCAGCAGCGCGCCACCACCAGCGCCACCACCGCCGCTCTCGCCGCCATCAGCACGTCGCCGCGCCTCCCCATCATCGCCGCGGCGCCACCGTGACACCCCATCGATAGAACCGCCCGTGTTGTCGAACCGACACGGCTTGCTTGTTTTCCGCACGCGCTGCCGTCGCCCGAACGCCCTGCACGCGCGCGGCCTTGCCCGCGTGATCCCCGCGCTAAACAGTTCTGCTGGTTTGCGTCTTTTCACGAGTCGTGAGCCGTTTGCCTTTTTTCACGCAGTGCGTGTGCGCGTTGCAGCGCGGGAAAACGAAACTCTTGAGGAAAAAGGAATCTCTAAGCCGTTTGAGTAAATTAGTAACTCCAGCTGCTATCAAAGGGAAATTAGTAACGCGCATGTCTTATTCTCGTGTAATCTCGTCCTTGTCTAGGTCTCTCGCGGGAGTCTTGGGAAACACAAGCATGGGGAAAGTGCGGTGCGGTGGAGGGATGGTGCAATCAACCGGCTTGTTGCTCGGTTGGATGGCGTGGTGCTCGGTTGCTCCATGCAAACTTGTTCCAGATCAAAAACTTGCTTTCTCACCAAATGTCGCCGTTTCTAAACGCACAATATCGCTCCAGACCTTTGCAAACCTTTTACACTGCACAGCATCGTCGGCGTTCTTTGAATTGAAGCCCTGAAGAAATTGAAGACTTGGGCTGACCAATGCGGTTGGTGGTGAGGTCGAGGAGGTGACGGTGCAGAGACGAACGCGTTACATTAAAACCTCATCAAAACGATTTGGGAGGCACTGACGAATAGAGCATTGTACCGTATGTGCACAATTTGTCAATGCAATTCATTCCTTTCTGGAAAAAGTCCTAGTGCAAGTTTCAACTATCAATAGAGTTGCTTTTGGCAGGTAAATTATTACTCTACAAAGTAAACATTCCTGTGCAGCAGTAATTACTTCGACGATGCAAAAACCGTTCTTGCATGGCAGTGAAGTATTCTTGGCAGTCGTGCACTAGCAAGTGATCTCCACATCCAAAGCAGCTTGCCGGGCAGCAAGGGCTCTCTTTGAAAAGAAGTAGCGTGTGGGGGGTCGATTCTTGAGGCGCCTCAGAAACCGTGTCAACGCCAGCAGCAGCAGCAGCAGCACTGCCAGTGGAAGCAGCAGCAGCAGCATAAGCAGATTGTGAGGTGCAAGAACATCAGACGAAGCCACCCCAACCACAGCAGAGGCTGGTGGAGGTGAGGGTGTGAGGGAAGGTGCCCTGATGCCACCCCATACGCCTACAGTTGCCGCAGCCGCGCCTCCATCCCCCTCAGCACCACCTGTGGTCCAGGGGGAAGGCGTGAGGAGGCACAAGGGGGTGTGGAATGCGGGGCATGGGGGGGCATTGGTACAAGGGAATGGCATGGGTTGCATGGTGCGTGGCACATCAAGCACAAAGAAGGATGTTTGAGAAAAGCGGATGTGATTAGGCATGCGACACGAGCGCATGAGAAAGTGATTGTTGCGCCGTGATGATCCATAAACGAAGGGAGCTTTTGCGGAGGAGGTATGGGAGAACGTGAAGGGAGAGCAGGTGCACAGCAGCATGAGCACACACGATGCTGACGCAGTGTGAACAGTGGAGTGGAGTGGAGTTGAGGGAACCAAGTCCGACTTGGTTCACTCCACTCCACTCCACTGCCCATATTGAGCAGGTGCATAGCGGCAGGTGCGCAGCAGCAGGTGCTGACTCAGTGTGGGTAGTGGAGTTGAGGGAACCAAGCCGGACTTCCAAGCACGAATGCGGGGGTTCACTTGGGTGGGAGGGGTGGCACTGCCACTCTCCCGTGACCCACAGGCAGGAGGAACGAGTCAGGCCTGGGAACCCTTGGGATAGGAAGCATGCATGGCAGCCGCAGGCATGGCAGCACACAGGCACGGCAACAAGCATGCATGGCAGCACGCAGTCTATGGAAGCCAAGATGCAGCTGGGACGAGCTGGTGGCTGAAAAGGAAGAGGAAAGGAACAAGTCACTAACTAGACATGCACTAGCCAACATGTATACGTGAGAGACGCACGTGCTAGCAGCAGGCATACCTTGAGGCACGCACGTGCCAGCATCAGCCCCTGGCATGTACCCCTCATCACAGTCGCACTGGCCCTCAAAATCACAGTACGGTGGCGGCGGCTCATATGCATCATCCTCGCAGGCAGCCATGTCGAGAGACGGGTCAAGCACAAAGGAGCACACGCCATGGCCGCTGCACGGCGGGGTGAGCGGCTGCGCCCCACAGAACGCCCGGCACTCGCTGGCTCTCCTCTGGTTATGAGGGTAGCAAAAGATTCCCTCGTCTGCAAGGCAGTTGTGGTCGAACAGACACACGATGTCACGGTCTGAAGGAATGCCTGAGGCATTGCACAGGCCGGCAGCATTCAAAGGGGGAGGGTCTGCTGTGGCTGTGAGGTAGTTGCAACGTATAGAGAGTCCGCGTTGGGAAGTGAGGCGGGCCATGTGGTGCAAGGAGGGCAGCTCTCCCGTAAGCTGGTTGCGGTCAAGGTGGCTGTGATGCAAGAGGAAAGTTGGGGGGAGAGAGGTGGGAAGGCAGAGGAGTGGTTGGGAATGGGAGTGTGGGGAAAGATGGAGTGCAGGAAAAGGGGAGTGATGAGACAGGAGTAGGATGTTGAGTCGTCGACTTATGAGTCGTCAAACCCAAGAAATACTCATATGTCAAGCGCTGTGTTGGATCAGACGGGTGTGTCAACGCTCTATGCTTCCTCTCATCATTTCTAAGACGTGGACAGGGCGGTGGGGAGGAGGAAGTGATTCAAAGCATTCAGGGTATGTATGAGACTAACAATGTGGCTCTACAGGTAACACGACCGATGGTAGACTCAGGAGCGGAGAGGGAGTGAGAGGTGTCATGGGAGGAAAGGAACTGCGAGTGGAGTGGATGGCATACATCCAGAAAGGCTGAGTCGTGTTTTGAGTCGACTCAAAACACGAGGAACTGCAAGTGGATGGCATACATCCAGAAAGGCTGACGAGGTCGCCACACTTCAAGTCAGGACGTGGCTGTCTGTCAGCAAGTAGAGAGGGAGAGACGTGTGGGCGACAGGAACGGAGAGACGTGCGAGCCGCAGAAAACGAGCTGCTGCGAGCAGAAAGGGTGGCGTTTCAGAGAGAAGAAGAGATGGGCAGCAGTAGTGCTGACAGTTGTTGGAGATGAGTGCACGCTGGTTTTTGAGAATTCTCAAGAACTGACTGCACCTGGTGACTGCACCTGGTGACTGCAGCTGGTGACTGCAGCTGGTGACTTGATAGACATGCCTTTAGAGTCGACTCATCTGAAGGCAATGCAGCCAGGTTGACACCACCAGGTATGTAAGCCTAGTCAAAGACACCACCATTCAGGGATGGCACTCATGTGTTGGGACGCCCGAGGAGGTAGCACTGACAGGATTCCGAGATTAGTGAGCGTGGTGATTGCAGCAGGTATCGTCCCTGCAAGGAGATTGTAGCTGAGTTGCCTGAAGACAGACGGGTGGGTGGATGGACGTGGAGGGAAGGAGAGAAGAAGAGGGGATGAGGTGACGAGGAAGAGACGAAGAAGTGAAGCAGAGGGGAAGAGGAGAAGAGGAGAGGAGGGTAGGAGGAGAGGAGAAGTTGAGAAGTGACTAGGAGAGGAGGAGAGGAGGAGAGGAGAAGTGGATAAGTCACAAAGAGAGGAGGTGCCTTGGAAAAGTGTGAGTGCTGTTGCTGAAAGGTGTGTGCCTTGAGAAACACACACCTGCAGCAGCAGACGGAATTTAAGACAACAAAGGTGCCTCCGTACTCTCCTATTCTTGCCCTCGTCTCCCCCTCCTCCCTCCCTCTCCCTCCCTCTCCCTCTCCCTCTCCCTCTCCCTCTCCCTCTCCCTCTCCCTCTCCCTCTCCCTCTCCCTCCCTCTCCCTCCCTCTCCCTCCCTCTGATTCCGATCCTCATCCTACCCACCCTCTCAAACCCCCCATGCTTGGCAGAGACAGGCAGGTGGAACGAAGGGATCGAGAGGAGAGGGGGGGTGGGGGGGGAAGTTGAGGGGAGGGAGAATGGGCGCGCACAGGGAGGTGAGTGCGGTGAGGTGGGCAATGCAGGCGGGAATGGTGCCACTCAGCCTGTTGCTCTTCATCTCCCTGCCATGGCATGGCATGGGATGGCATGGGATGGGATGGGATCAGGCCCGTTGATTGGTCTTGAATCAGGCTGAATAAACAGAGTCCTCACACGAATGTACTCTGGAAATTAGCCAAAAATGTCGTTTTACATTAGAGATTCGCGTAAAACGCTGGTAAATCAGCCCTGGCACAGAAAAAAAAATGCTGAACTTGCATAAAAATGCTGAAATCTGGGGGCCAGGACATGATTCGATGGGATGGGATGGGATGGACGGGCAGGCCATTAGCGCATAGGGATGCCTCCACTCACTCTCTCACGCATGCATCCGTCATTGAGTCATTCACCCTCTCATCCCCTCACCCACTCACTCACTCACTCACTCACTCACTCACTCACCCACTAACTCACTCACACTTTCACCCACACGTCACTGACTCGCTCACCCTCTCGCGGCCTCTCACTATCCCACTCACTTTCTCACTAAGGGGACCAATCACACCGGATCATCCCACAGCACCTTGCATGCCTGCCCCATCACCACTCACAACTCCTGCAGCTTCTTGAGGCTGCTGATTGCCTCTGGAATGGAGCCGGAAAAGTTGTTGCCCTGGAGATTCCTGGAGCATGACGAGGGCGGGAAGAGGGCAGAGAGGGGAAGGTGGAGAGGGGAAGAGTGGCGAGGGGAAGAGTGGCGAGGGGAAGAGTGGCGAGGGGAAGAGTGGCGAGGGGAAGAGTGGCGAGGGGAAGAGTGGCGAGGGGAAGAGTGGCGAGGAGAAGGGTGGAGAGAGGAATAAGAGCCATTGAATGCAGGGAGGTGGAAGGCAGGGATGATCAAGGGGAGTATGTAATGTAATGTTCTGACTGCAAAGCATGTGATGTACTGTCTCTGTCTGTACTGGTATGGTAAATACTGCTAAATAGTGCAGGCAAGGTAAGCTTAGGGTGTAGGGAGAATGGGAGAGAGGGGGGTGAAAGGAGAAAGCGATAGAGGAGGATGGAGCGAGAATGGGAGAGAGAGGGGTGGAGGGAGAATGGGCGCACAGAGTGGTGAGTGCGGTGAGGTGGGCAATGGAGGCGGGAATGGTGCCACTCAGCCTGTTGCAGCTCACCCGCCTGCCGTGAAAAGGGATGGGAGGGCATGGGATGGCGTGAAAAGGCATGGCATGGCATGGAATGGCGTGGCATGGCATGGCATGGCACGGGATGGCATGGGATGGGATGGGATGGGATGGGATGGGATGGGATGGGATGGGATGGGATGGGATGGGATGGGATGGGATGGGATGGGATGGGACGGGATGGGATGGGATGGGATGGGAAGGCATTGGATGGCATGGGATGGGAGCTCGTCACAGTGGTGGATGCGGTGTAGTGCATCCAAAGCACTGGGTAGTGGAGGAGGCGGGGATGCTTACATACGAGGAATGCCACTGGAGAAGCTCAAGCGAAGTTGCATTGCAAAGCCACAAGGGACATTGGAAAAGGGCTGGAGGCAGTACCAACGCTCTCCTCCGCAGGACTCACTCTTGCAACTCTTTCCCACTGAGGTTGAGCTGGTAATGTGAGTTGCGGCATCAGGCAACAATGGAACGGACAGCATGTCTCAGATCAGAAAGCACAATCACCACCCTAATGCTGACATCCCGCTATTAACGATTCACATCCCACTATCAACAATGCACATCCCTCTTCCTTACAGATTTTCCAGGTTGGTGAGCGCTCCTATTGACTCGGGGATGGACCCTTTCAGATTATGCTCCTCAAGGGCTCTGCGATCAAGTGCGGCACAGAGAGGAGCAGTGGAGCGGTGGCAGAGGAGCAGTGGCAGTGGAGCAGTGGCAATGGAGCAGTGGCAATGGAGCAGTGGCAATAGAGCGGTGGAAGTTGGGTGTGCGAAAGTTGATAACGCATGGTCTCACATGCACCTGCAGTGCATGTGTCTGCAGTGCATGTGTCTGCAGTGCATGTCTCTGCAGTAGCAATGCATGTGCCTTGCAATGTGTCTTGCAATGCAAGTGCCTTGCCTTGCAGTGCATGTGCTTCGCAATGCACCACTCACAACTCCCTTAGCTGCTTGAGGCTGCTGATTGCCTCTGGAATGGATTCTGAAAAGTGGTTGTCCTTAATAGTCCTGGTGCATTGAGATGGATGGGGGCGGAAACGGGAGAAGGGAAGCGCAGAAAGGGGAGGGGACATATTAGAGAGGGGATGCAGGAAGGGAAGGTATGGGAAGAGGAGAGAATAGAAGCGGAAAGATGAAAAGGATGTTCGATGGGAGGTGGTGCATAGCAGATGGTGCATAGCAGATGGTGCATAGCAGATGGTGCATAGCAGATGGTGCATAGCAGATGGTGCATAGCAGATGGTGCATAGCAGATGGTGCATAGCAGATGGTGCATAGCAGATGGTGCATAGCAGATGGTGCATAGCAGATGGTGCATAGCAGATGGTGCATAGCAGATGGTGCATAGCAGATGGTGCATAGCAGATGGTGCATAGCAGATGGTGCATAGCAGATGGTGCATAGCAGATGGTGCATAGCAGATGGTGCATAGCAGATGGTGCATAGCAGATGGTGCATAGCAGATGGTGCATAGCAGATGGTGCATAGCAGATGGTGCATAGCAGATGGTGCATAGCAGATGGTGCATAGCAGATGGTGCATAGCAGATGGTGCATAGCAGATGGTGCATAGCAGATGGTGCATAGCAGATGGTGCATGGCAGATGGTGCATAGCAGATGGTGCATAGCAGATGGTGCATAGCAGATGGTGCATAGCAGATGGTGCATAGCAGATGGTGCATAGCAGATGGTGCATAGCAGATGGTGCATAGCAGATGGTGCATAGCAGATGGTGCATAGCAGATGGTGCATAGCAGATGGTGCATAGCAGATGGTGCATAGCAGATGGTGCATAGCAGATGGTGCATAGCAGATGGTGCATAGCAGATGGTGCATAGCAGATGGTGCATAGCAGATGGTGCATAGCAGATGGTGCATAGCAGATGGTGCATAGCAGATGGTGCATAGCAGATGGTGCATAGCAGATGGTGCATAGCAGATGGTGCATAGCAGATGGTGCATAGCAGATGGTGCATAGCAGATGGTGCATAGCAGATGGTGCATAGCAGATGGTGCATAGCAGATGGTGCATAGCAGATGGTGCATAGCAGATGGTGCATAGCAGATGGTGCATAGCAGATGGTGCATAGCAGATGGTGCATAGCAGATGGTGCATAGCAGATGGTGCATAGCAGATGGTGCATAGCAGATGGTGCATAGCAGATGGTGCATAGCAGATGGTGCATAGCAGATGGTGCATAGCAGATGGTGCATAGCAGATGGTGCATAGCAGATGGTGCATAGCAGATGGTGCATAGCAGATGGTGCATAGCAGATGGTGCATAGCAGATGGTGCATAGCAGATGGTGCATAGCAGATGGTGCATAGCAGATGGTGCATAGCAGATGGTGCATAGCAGATGGTGCATAGCAGATGGTGCATAGCAGATGGTGCATAGCAGATGGTGCATAGCAGATGGTGCATAGCAGATGGTGCATAGCAGATGGTGCATAGCAGATGGTGCATAGCAGATGGTGCATAGCAGATGGTGCATAGCAGATGGTGCATAGCAGATGGTGCATAGCAGATGGTGCATAGCAGATGGTGCATAGCAGATGGTGCATAGCAGATGGTGCACAGCAGATGGTGCACAGCAGATGGTGCACAGCAGATGGTGCATAGCAGATGGTGCATAGCAGATGGTGCATAGCAGATGGTGCATAGCAGATGGTGCATAGCAGATGGTGCATGGCAGATGGTGCATAGCAGATGGTGCATAGCAGATGGTGCATAGCAGATGGTGCATAGCAGATGGTGCATAGCAGATGGTGCATAGCAGATGGTGCATAGCAGATGGTGCATAGCAGATGGTGCATAGCAGATGGTGCATAGCAGATGGTGCATAGCAGATGGTGCATAGCAGATGGTGCATAGCAGATGGTGCATAGCAGATGGTGCATAGCAGATGGTGCATAGCAGATGGTGCATAGCAGATGGTGCATAGCAGATGGTGCATAGCAGATGGTGCATGGCAGATGGTGCATGGCAGATGGTGCATAGCAGATGGTGCATGGCAGATGGTGCATGGCAGATGGTGCATAGCAGATGGTGCATAGCAGATGGTGCATGGCAGATGGTGCATAGCAGATGGTGCATGGCAGATGGTGCATGGCAGATGGTGCATAGCAGATGGTGCATAGCAGATGGTGCATAGCAGATGGTGCATAGCAGATGGTGCATAGCAGATGGTGCATAGCAGATGGTGCATGGCAGATGGTGCATGGCAGATGGTGCATAGCAGATGGTGCATAGCAGATGGTGCATGGCAGATGGTGCATGGCAGATGGTGCATAGCAGATGGTGCATGGCAGATGGTGCATGGCAGATGGTGCATAGCAGATGGTGCATGGCAGATGGTGCATAGCAGATGGTGCATAGCAGATGGTGCATAGCAGATGGTGCATAGCAGATGGTGCATGGCAGATGGTGCATGGCAGATGGTGCATAGCAGATGGTGCATGGCAGATGGTGCATGGCAGATGGTGCATAGCAGATGGTGCATAGCAGATGGTGCATAGCAGATGGTGCATAGCAGATGGTGCATAGCAGATGGTGCATAGCAGATGGTGCATAGCAGATGGTGCATAGCAGATGGTGCATAGCAGATGGTGCATAGCAGATGGTGCATAGCAGATGGTGCATAGCAGATGGTGCATAGCAGATGGTGCATGGCAGATGGTGCATGGCAGATGGTGCATAGCAGATGGTGCATGGCAGATGGTGCATGGCAGATGGTGCATAGCAGATGGTGCATAGCAGATGGTGCATGGCAGATGGTGCATAGCAGATGGTGCATGGCAGATGGTGCATGGCAGATGGTGCATAGCAGATGGTGCATAGCAGATGGTGCATAGCAGATGGTGCATAGCAGATGGTGCATAGCAGATGGTGCATAGCAGATGGTGCATGGCAGATGGTGCATGGCAGATGGTGCATAGCAGATGGTGCATAGCAGATGGTGCATGGCAGATGGTGCATGGCAGATGGTGCATAGCAGATGGTGCATGGCAGATGGTGCATGGCAGATGGTGCATAGCAGATGGTGCATGGCAGATGGTGCATAGCAGATGGTGCATAGCAGATGGTGCATAGCAGATGGTGCATAGCAGATGGTGCATGGCAGATGGTGCATGGCAGATGGTGCATAGCAGATGGTGCATGGCAGATGGTGCATGGCAGATGGTGCATAGCAGATGGTGCATAGCAGATGGTGCATAGCAGATGGTGCATAGCAGATGGTGCATAGCAGATGGTGCATGGCAGATGGTGCATGGCAGATGGTGCATAGCAGATGGTGCATAGCAGATGGTGCATGGCAGATGGTGCATAGCAGATGGTGCATGGCAGATGGTGCATAGCCGATGGTGCATGGCAGATGGTGCATAGCAGATGGTGCATGGCAGATGGTGCATGGCAGATGGTGCATAGCAGATGGTGCATGGCAGATGGTGCATAGCAGATGGTGCATAGCAGATGGTGCATGCAGATGGTGCATGGCAGATGGTGCATGGCAGATGGTGCATAGCAGATGGTGCATGGCAGATGGTGCATGGCAGATGGTGCATAGCAGATGGTGCATGGCAGATGGTGCATGGCAGCACGCACAGTGAAGTCAAGTCTGTGAGGCTGAAGATCCACGCAGGCAGCTCCCCAGACAGGTGATGATCCGACACGTGCCTGACGATGGAAACATCAGTCATGGGAGGAGCAAGAAAGATGTAGGGAAGAGGGTATGAGGAACCCACGAATAGGCGTGGGAGGATGAGCAAGGCGAAAACGACGAGCAAGGAGAACAAAAGAAGTGAGGGAGCATGGTAAGAGGAGGGGGCATGCGAATTTCCCTGTCATGCTGCGGTGCCGTGAACAACACTTCACATGGCCTTCAGGCTTCGCACACCCAGTAGGGTGCCATCACATGCCCCTCATCCGGCCTTACAGAGACTGCAGCTTCTGCAGCTGGGAGAGCTGCTCTGGTAGTGAGTCGAGAAAAAAGTTCATTGACAAATGTCTGCATGCACCATGCATGCACCATGCACGCACCATCCATCCACGATGCATGCAACATGCATGCACCACGTACGCAACATCCATGCACCAAGCATGAAACATCCATGCACCACAGATGTGGAGGGTTAAGAAATATCGGAGGGTGTTGCAGGGGAGAGGGGGCTGTTGACGAGAGGCTGAAGAAAAGAAACGAGTGGCAGGAGATGGGTTGGACTGGGGAGCAGCAGGCAGTGCAGGTGGGAAGAAAGAGATCATGGCAATGGGGTGTGTTTGAGGGGCCAGATGGGGTGTGAGGGGCCAGATGGGGTGTGAGGGGCCAGATGGGGTGTGAGGGGCCAGATGGGGTTTGAGGGGCCAGATGGGGTTTGAGGGGCCAAATGGAGTTTGAGGGGCCAGATGGACAGACATGCAGTAGATTTACAGTCCACTTACCTCCGTCACTTACACTCATGCTCTCACCTCACTCATTCACCTACCTATCACCCACCCACTCACTTCCCCCCACCTGTTACTACATCCCTCCTCCCCCCAAGCGCACTGACAGGCGGGTGAGCTGCTGCAGATTGCCCAGCTCTTGCGGAACGGAAGCTTTGAGATTGCCGTGAGAGGCGGTGCTGCTGCATTGATGGGCCGGCAGGCATGGGGGAGAGAAGGGAAGACGGCAGGGAGGGGAGAGGGCAGGGAGGGGAGAAAGAGGGGAAGAGGGGAAAGAGGGAGGAAGTGGGTTGGATATGATGTGCTTGAGAGGGGCGTCTGCGGTAGGCATGCAGTTCGGCGTGCAGTTGGGCATGCACATGCAGGTAGATTGGGGAAAGAAAAGAGGGAGGCTGATGGAAAACAGGTGGACCTCAGTAGTGCGACAGAGAGAAGAGAGAAGAGGGAGGCGCATGGGGGAATGTGGAACCGACAGGCCCATGGGAGAGGACAGGCTGCCTAGGGTATCGGGGAGTGAGCGAGGGAGCGAGCGAGGGAGATGAAAGCACGCCCTCATATCCCTGCAGGCAGCCAGCACAAGCAAAGATGGTGAAGGGGCATTAGAATAGAAGCATGGGTGGGTGGATGGATGGAGATGATAGGGGAAAGGGAAAAAGGAAGGACACCAACCAAGCAAGGATAATTCAAGACAAGCAAGGACAATTCATTACAAGCAAGGGCAATTCATTACAAGCAAGGGAAATTCATTACACGCAAGGGCACGACAAGCAAGGACGATTTAATACAAGAAAGAACGATTCATTACAAGCAAGGAAGATTCAAATCAAGCAAGGAAAATTCATTAAAAGCATGGACAATTTATTAAAAGCAAGGATATTTTAATACAAGCAAGTACAACCCATTAGAAGCAAGGGCAAGTCAGTGGGGGAAAGTGGGGGATCGAACGCGTGAAGGCCAGTGGGGAAGGGAGAGTGAAAAAGGAGCCTCACAGAGTCTTGAGATGGGACAATGCGAGGAGAGCCGTGGGAAGGGGGCCGACGAGGCTACCCTTGCACCCTACGATGAAGCTGTGGGAGGAGAAGGATGGCAGGGAGGGCGGAAGGACTGAAGTAAAATCAAGTACCTGTTTCCCAGATGCGAAGCAAATGGAATCAAAGTGCAAGGGGACGATGCAGGGTGACATGCTTACAGTGCAATGACATGCTTACAGTGCAATGATATGCCCATCGCCATCACACTCCACGGCATCCATGCTGTCGCAATCCCTGCCCCTCATCCATGTCCTCGTACCGCTGATTTGGATCCATTCACGTGCTAGGCTCGCCAAAGCTTCCACTGCCATGCACCCATGCCATGCACCCATGCCATGCACCCATGCCATGCACCCATGCCATGCACCCATGCCATGCACCCATGCCGTGCACCCATGCCATGCACCCATGCCATGCACCCATGCCGTGCACCCATGCCGTGCACCCATACGATACCCCCCATGCCATCCCCCCATGCCATACCACACAAGGCCGCAGGTCCTCCCGCATCACATGTTGGAAACATTCTCAGGGGAGGGGCGAGAGGAAAAGGGGGAGGGAAGAGGGATGGATGGAGGTGGGCACGGCAGGAGGGGCAGTGCCACCAGCAGTGACGGTTGTTGCTGGTGCGGGCCTCATGCTGCATGCTGAATCGGGTTACTGTCACGGATGATGCTGACTCAGCTGCGCCCTGGGCGGTATGGTGCACAGCATGGCTGATTGCCATGGCATTGCAGGGACCTCTGTCTGTCAAAAGGAGGTGGAGGTGGAGGTGGAGGTGGAGGTGGAGGTGGAGGTGGAGGTGGAGGTGGAGGTGGAGGTGGAGGGACGAGAGCGGGCGGGCTTACTGTCAGCGTCCAGCGCGTGCGGGTTACGGTCCTGGGGCAGTATGGCGCACAGTAGTACTGTCAGAGACCACGGCCTGTCAAAAGGAGGAGGTGGAGGGACGACAGTGGGTCCCGCACAGCTTACTGTCAGCGTGCATCACGGCTTACTCTCGGCGTCCACCACGGGAGCAGCGCGTGCGAGGGGTAAGCAGCAGCGCGCCACCACCAGCGCCACCACCGCTGCTCTCGCCGCCATCATCACGCCGCGGCGCGTCCCCATCGCCGCGCCACAACACAGTGCGCGTTGTCGGGCCGTGTGCTTGTTTTCCGCACGCGCTGCCGTCCCCCGAACGTCCTGCACGCACGCGGCCTTGCCCGCGTGAACTGTGCGGTGGACAGTTCTGTTGCTATTGCGTCTTTCACGAGCCGTGAGCTGTCTGCGTGTGCGCGTTTGCAGCGTGGGAGATCGAGACTCTTAGAGCAAAACAGAATCTCTAAACCGTTTCTGGAGGAGTTGACTCCAGCTGCTATCAAAGGGCGAGTACAGCGGAGACCTAATTTCGTGCATTGTCGTGTTGATCTTGGTCTCTTGCGGGAGTCTCGGGAAACACTGGTGCCATGCTGTGTTGCTCCGCATAGACCTGCTCTTGATCAAAAGCTCGCTTCCTCACCTGATCTCGCCGTTTTATAACCGACAGAAACGCTCCGAAACTATGCAAAACCGTTTACAGCGTCGGTGATATTTGAATCAAAGCCGTGAAGAAATTGAAGACTTGGCTGACCAATGCGGTTGGCGGCGAGGTCAAGAAAAACGAGATGGTGGAGAGAGAAACGCGTTACAGTGAAACTTCCGCTAAAGAGATAACGATTTCCGAACTTTGTGTCAGTATACCACCAATCTTCAACATCTGGGTGTCGTCCAGGTCGCTCCCTGGCTGTTATCGGGAAAGCTGCAACAGCGGAGTCAACTGGTGAGGCTTCCTGTCTCCGATATACATGAGTACAATCACGACATGCAATCATTACCCTTTGCATAAGCAAACTATATACAAGAAGAAGAAAAATAATATCCAAGTGGTAGCTACTTTATATTTCAGTAAGGATTATAACAACAGCGAGGGATACTACTCTAGCAGGCAACCAGGATTGGACACCCAACAAGCCCTCAGATTCGTTTTAGACTCGTCAGGCTCACATGGCATTGTAACCTAGCGAATAGTAATTTCTGGGTGACAGTAATTTATGGAAAATATTACAAAAAAAAATCCTTTTGAAAGATATTAGAACACATTTAGTCGTGGAAGTGAACCCTTAGCAATCCTGCACTAGCAAGTGATCTCCACACCCATGGCAGCTTGCCGGGCAGCAAGGGCTCTCTTTGAAAAGAAGTAGCGTGTGGGGGGTCGACTCTTGAGGCGCCTCAGAAACTGTGGCAGTGAGAAGGCCAGCAGCAGCAGCACCGCCAGTGGAAGCAGCAGCAGCAGGTTTCGAGGTGCCTGGTGAGAAGACACAATCACCCCCACGACTGCAGTGCTTGGCGGTTCAGACGGTGAGTTGTGGAAAGAGAGAGTGAAGGGCATTGATGCCTGATTCAGAGGGTGGTATGGTGCAGCTAGAGCCACCCCCATGGCTGCAGTGTCTGGCGGTTCAGATGATGGGTTGGTGCCTGCAGGGTGGATGAGGGAAGGGGGGATGAGGTAGTGGTGGAGACGGACTGAGCAGTGGACTGAAGTTGGCATGTAAAGAAAGTCGGGACGGGTAAGGGCAGTGCGGCCTTGACGGGCTCACAGAGACTGTGAGCCGGATGCACGCACGATGCAGACGCAGTGTGGCTTGAGTGGAGGGAAACAGGACTGACACCCCGGCACGCGTGTCCATTTTCCACTTCTTCTAGGGTGCTCCGAATGGACTCAGTGCGGCCAGTGGAGGAGCGCGAGTGACACTACCCGGCATGAGCAGGCCAGTGGAACCCATGGGGCATGTGTGGGATAGCAAGCAGGCATGTTGGCAAGCAGGCATGTTGGCAAGCAGACTTTGGAAGACAAGACGCTGCTGGGCTGAACTTGTGGGTGAAAGGGAAGAGAAGAAGAACGCAGGAACCAGCAAGCGAGAGCATTCAGCAGCAGGCATACCGTGGGAGACGCACGTGCCAGGCTTTGTCCCTGGCGTGTACCCCTCATCACAGACGCACTGGCCCTCGGGTTCAACAGAGGGGAGTTCGGAATGATCAGGCTCGAAGGAGCACACGCCATGGCCGCTGCACGGCAGGGTGAGCGGCTGCGCCCCACAGAACGCCCGGCACTCGCTGGCTCGCCTCTGATTCTGCCAACAGTTGCTGGAGAGTGTGTTGTTGTTGTCGTTCCCAAGGCAATTGTGCTCGAACCAACACACACTATGGTAGTATAAAGGATCCTCTCGGCTGGTAGCGTTGAAAGAGAGAGGGTCTGCTGTGGATGTGAGGTAGTTGTGGTCTGCTGACAGACCCTGTTGCGAAGTGAGACGGGCCATGTGGAGGAAGGAGGGCAGCTCTCCCGTCAGCTGGTTGTGGTCAAGGCGGCTGTGATGCCATGGGAAGGTGGGAGCGGGAGAGGTGGGAAGGCAGAGGAGTGGTTGGGAATGGGAGTGTGGTGAAAGATGGAGTGTAGGAAAAGTGGAGCGATGAGACAAGAGTAGGATCTTGAGTCGTCGACTTTTGAGGGCGTATTTCCCGACTTTGTGTCAAGAACCAGTTGGCGTCAAACCATATCTCTGGAGCGCACGTGATTGGCTAGTTGTGATTTTTTATCAATCGCCATGCGTTCCAAGATTCTAGGTCGACACAAACACAGCTCGACACGAAGCCAGGAATACGCCCTGAGTTGTGAAATTCAACAAATACTCATATGTCAGCGTTGTGTTGGATCAGACGGGTGTGTTAAGCTCTATGCTTCCCTTCATATTTTTTTAGGCATGGACAGGGCTCTTAGGAGGAGGACGAGAATTTTGAATGCATCCAAGTAAGAGCAAGAAAGGGCTTTACAGGAACGATTGGTAGATTCGGGAGAGGAAAGTAAGTAGTGTATGGGAGTAGGTGGAGTTATGGGAGTGGGAGGAGTTATGGGAGTGGGAGGAGTTATGGGAGTGGGAGGAGTTATGGGAGTGGGAGGAGTTATGGGAGTGGGAGGAGTTATGGATGACGAGGTTGCCACCCTTCAAGTCAATGCGCAGCAAGTAGAAAGGAAGAGATGTGTGGGCGGCAGAAAGGAAACCAGCTGCTGCGAGTAGTAGGAGTGGCGTTTCAGAGAGAAGAATAGAAGTGTAGCAGTAGTGCTTAATGAATTTGATAAACGCCCTAATCTATCTGCTCCCCTTATATTCCACACTCCGTTCGAATGCAGTAACTGGGAATCACCCTTAAAGTTCAGGGGTAGTTCAGAGTGGGTGGCCCACGAGTTGGCGAAAACAAAGGTCGTAATCGAAATGTGTGGCAGGGTCTGCTTAAATGTTACAGCCCTTTGAGATCGCCAGACCCGACCCGACCATTTGGTCGGCTTTTAGGCCTGGTCGGTACTATGTTACACGGCCCAACACTGACAGGTACTCGAGATTTGTGAGCGTGGTGATTGCAGCAGGTATCGTCCCCGCAAGGCGGTTTTTGCTGAGTTCCCTGAAGACAGGTGGATGAATGGACATGGCGGGAAAGAGAGACGGAGAGGGAATGAGGTTATGAGGAAGAGGGGAAGAAGGGAGGAGGTGAAGAGGAGAAGAGGAGACGAGGGTAGGAGGAGAGGAGGAGAGAAAACGTGGAGTGGCAGGCTGTACCTGCGTAAAATGACTGAAACCTGAGGGCCTCGTTATGATTGGATGTGGAATGGTATTGAATGGGATGGACGGGCAGGACATTAGCCCGTAGGGATGCCTCCACTCACTCTCTCATCCCCTCACCCACTCACTCACTCGCACTTACACCCACAAGTCACTCACTTGCCCACCCTCTCTTGGCCTCTTACTCTCCCACTCACTTACTCACTGAGGGGGACCTATCATGCCTACCCCATCCGCACTCACAAGCTTTGTAGCTGCTTGAGGCTGCTGATTGCCTCTGGAATGGAGCCTGAGAGATTGTTGTCGTTGAGGTGTCTGGAGCATGATGAGGGTGCGACGGAGAGAGGAAAGCGGAGAGGGGAAGGCGGGGAGGGGAAGGGTGGCGAGGGGAAGGGGGGCATTGGAGGTAGAAGGCAGGAAGGACAATCATGATCAAGAGATTGGAAGGGGGAAGCTGAAGTGGTGGATGGATGGCCGAAAGAATTGCAGAGATGCGTTTTCATTACCCAAAGCATTCCCCTGTAACACAGCATGGTGGCCGTATCATTATCATTTTGAAGCTAACGGAAAGTTTAGATGCGGATATAGTTGCTTTTTGCTAACAGTGGAGGCAAAGAAGGTGTAAGGCGGAAGTGAATGGGGGAGAGGTCAGCAGGGAAGAGGGCAGCACGAGAGATGGGATTGGGATGGTATGGGATGGGATGGGATGGGATGGGATGGGATGGGAAGGGGACGGGATGGGATGGGATGGGATGGGATGGGATGGGATGGGATGGGATGGGATGGGATGGGATGGGATGGGATGGGAAGGGGACGGGATGGGATGGGATGGGATGGGATGGGATGGGATGGGAAGGGGACGGGATGGGATGGGATGGGATGGGAAGGGGACGGGATGGGATGGGATGGGATGGGATGGGATGGGATGGGATGGGGTGGGATGGTATGGGATAAGACGGATTGGGATGGGATGGGATGGGATGGGATGGGATGGGATGGGATGGGATGGGATGGGATGGGATGGGATGGGATGGGATGGGGTGGGATGGTATGGGATGGGATGGGATGGGATGGGATGGGATGGGATGGTATGGGATGGGATGGGATGGGGTGGGATGGGATGGGATAAGATGGATTGGGATGGGATGGGATGGGATGGGATGGGATGGGATGGGATGGGATGGGATAGGATGGGATGGGATGGGATGGGATGGGGTGGGATGGTATGGGATAAGATGGATTGGGATGGGATGGGATGGGATGGGATGGGATGGGATGGGATGGGATGGGATGGTATGGGATGGGATGGGATGGGATGGGATGGGATGGGATGGGATGGGATGGGATGGGATGGGATGGGATGGGATGGGATGGGATAAGATGGATTGGGATGGGATGGGATGGGATGGGATGGGATGGGAAGGGGGGATGGGATGGGAGGGGAGGGGTTGCACAAGCTACAACTCCCCATCAGCA